CTTGGACGTGGTGAGAAGCAAACAACTCTTGAGCACCGCTACCATTTTGAATACTTTAATCAATGCATAGATTTTCAGTTGGGAACATTGAATTCAAGATTCAATGAGTCATCAGTCAGATTGCTTCAGTTGAGTGGTGCACTAGACCCTAAAAGTTCTTTCCGGTCTTTTGATGAAGAAAATATTTACAGACTTGCTGAAGAGTTTTATCCTCGAGACTTTGAAGGCAATGAGATGAATTGTTTGAAGAATGAGCTAGGATATTATGCTGATCATGTGGTTCATAGTCAGGAATATGATGTTTCTTCCCTTGCAAAATTACTAGAGAAGCTGGTGGAAACAGGGATGGAGGCACGGTACAGATTGATTTGTCGGTTGATTCGTCTAGTGTTGACATTGCCTGTTTCAACGGCTACTACAGAGAGATCCTTTTCAGCAATGAAACATGTGAAGACTGATTTGCGCAACAAGATGGGCGATGAATTTCTTGCTGATTGCTTAACTATTTTCTTTGAGAGAGAGTATGTTATTGGTATGGATGAAGACTCAATTATAGACGAATTTGCTAAATTAAAAGACCGTCGTGTACAATTGACATTGTAATGCAAACTATAATTTTTTTTTTGTTTACGGTATCTAATTTTATGTTGAATCCGGCCCAGTGCACTTCTACATCCTGGATCCGTCGCTGGTTAGAGAGTGGAAAGATTGGGGAGCGGATATGGTAGGGCACGAAAACTGTTTTCTGCCTGCAAAATCATGCAAAACGTGAACAATGATATAATCGAGAGTTTTGCATGGTTTTACAGGCTTGGATTTTGTATTGGAATTTAAGGAGAAAGATTCTTAATAAATTATTTATTCCTGAAGTAAGTTAATCAAGAAAGGCTAGACCTTGATCTGAGTTCTTTAGAAGATGATCCGGGTTTAAGAGAACAACTTTTATGCTTTTATCATATGGTGAATGTATTTTACATACTCTTTACAATATGAAAACACATTGTGGTCATTGTAAAACATTAATATAAGCTATGTTGTGATTTTCTTTTTATAGTTGGTACTTGGTACCACCTTAGTAAAATTTCTATCTACGCCACTGGATGGACTGATAGAAAGCTGAATCATGCAATTGGATCGCCTAGTCAGTCGGGAGCAGTTGTGGTGCACAACCATGCATAACGTTCCACATCAACGCTAACTCATAATTTACGAAAGACTTTAATATTTTCCCTTCTAAATTTTAACGGGCTATAGCTCTCTCGTTTTAAGTCGGAATTTGATTTTTTGGCACAGATAAATCAGATTAATTGTGCTCTTCAAAATTATATCCACTTAGATATATTTTTTTAATATAATTTTTTGAGACATTTAGCACTAGTTTGTAGGGATGGCAATGGGTCGGGTTGGGGCGGGTTTTGTCAAACCCAAACCCAAACACATAGGTTTATCCGCCAAAAAAATCCGGGGTAAAATCCGCTGGGTTTGAAAAACTCAAACCCAACCCAACCCGCGGGTTCACGGGTACCCGTGGGTTTTTGTGGTAAAAAATTTACAATAACAAGTTTCTTTCAAAATAAAAGTTTAACATCAATTTTCTCATACAAATTATTCATACAAAAAACACCAATCTAGAGCATACAAGCAAACCGCAAATGATCAATACAAATTGTTCAAAATTAAAGATAAACATCTATAAACAATAAGATTAACTGAAAACTTTTTCCTCGTCAACTAAGTTTCTTCACTCTCCACTTCATAATATCAACTTCATTCTAAACAATTAGAATGAACAAATTATACATGTCTCCACAAACATAAAGAATATTAGTTGTTTAAGGAATATATATTATTTAGAATATTAAATATACCGGGAAAGTAATTATATGTGTGTGGGCGGGTACCCATGGGGCGGGTTTACCTAAACCCAAACCCAACCCGACCCGGTGAATAGTGTAGCAGATTTAAACCCGAACCCGGCCCAAAACCCGTCAACAAGGGTTTTACCCGCATTGACCGGGTTGGGTCGGGTGGGTACCCGTGGGTTCGGGTTTTGTTGCCATCCCTACTTGTTTGTACCATGGTGGTATTGTTTTGTATTTACATGAGAGCATACCACATGGTATGAAAGTGTATCGTGGTGGTATGAACATACCAGACTGTAGAATGGTTGAATACATGATAGTATGAATATAATAACTATCATTTACAATTTTCAACATTGTGTACCACAAGATACCACCCTTGAAATTTTTTGGTTATGTATTTTTTACCCAGAATGCAATAGATCATGATGAACAAGTTTTTTCAGTTCAAAAAATTTCAAAATTGACTTAAAAAAGAAGATACCATATGGTATGGAGGTGGTAACAAGTGGTATGAATTTTTTTCTCGAAATATATTGAAAATGAATTTAATTTTATAGAGCACAATAAACTCATTCTACTTGTGCAATTTTGTTTGAAATTCAATTTAAAACGAAAATGATAAGAACCAATTAAGATAACTAAACAAAATAAAAAGTCATTAATTCTCAATTTCTCACCTCTTAGATATGATGCCCACTTAAAATGAAATGATAACTGATAAGACTTGTGCATAATATGCACCATAGAGTTATGAACGTATCTGTAGCCTAGTCAGTCACAATACCTCAACAACCAATTGATGAAGAATTGTTATTTTGATTTTGATTTAATTTTTGTTTACTTAAGAAAATTCTTTGACTTTAGTTTACATCAAGGAATTTAGATAAGGTTAGGAAAAAAAGGGGTTGACTATCATGATTCTCTTCGTCTTCCTTCCTTTTCTTCACTTTTGGAGGTGCTTGATCGTACATGGGAGGCGTGTTACGATGACGTAGGGGATGACGTTTTTAGGATTTTTTCGTAAACGAAATAAAGCGCAAAGAACTTGCAAAAAAATAATTAAGAAATACCAAATAAAAGAACGAAAACTAAATATTTGAGTTCCAATCTTCTTATCATTAAACGAACAAAACAAGTACATATTTATAGGCTAGAGAATCCTAAAATTCCCTCTCCTTTTCCTACTGGGTCGACGACCCTTTTCTTCATTTTCCTGTCACAATTATGGGGTAAATGACACATTTGGTCACTGAGATTATTAAATTGTGTCATGTTTAGTCACTAGAAAAAATTAATATCAATTTTGGTCACTCGAATTACCGAAACTGGTCAAATTTAGTCACTCTCCCGTCAGTTTCCGTCCAACTCCATTAATGTAGTTGGACGGAAACTTTTGGGAGAGTGACTAAATGTGACATGTTTCAGTAATCCGAGTGACTAAATGTGACATTTTTCAATAATTCGAGTGACCGGAGTTGGACAGAGGCTACAGAAGAGTGACCAAATGTGACCTGTTTCAGTAATTCGAGTGACCAAAATTGATATTAAATTTTTCTAGTGACTAAATATGACACGATTTAGTAATCTCAGTGACCAAATATGTCATTTACCCCACAATTATGAAACCTATTCTATAAGGAATATATATTAAATCCTAAACACACAACTAAGAAATCTCAATCTACTACTAACAATTAATCATAATACGAAATACTAAAAATACCCAAATAATATCCCAATTACGACTAATAATAAAAATACTAAAAGATACGCAAACCCAGTCTTCTACGAAATGCTACGATGACCCAATCTCGTAACATCCTCCCTCCTTGAGCACAACCTTGCCCTCAAGGTTAGTCTTATTCCTCGATGAACTTGCCCCCCTCATCCTCACCGCATGCACCAATCATGAGAAGGACGTTGTTATTCGCACAATCAGCGGCGGATACAGGGGGGGGGGGGGGGCCTGACTGGGCCCGGGCCCAGCCCCCCTGCCTCCCCAAGACCCAAGACCCAGGCGTCCCAGCCCCATTGCCACAGCCTAGCCCAGCCCCACTGCCACAGCCCACAGCCGGCCAGCCCAATTTGAAATCTCAAGACCAAAACTAAAAATCTCCCGCCCCTATTCTAGCTTCCCCTGCAAGTCTGGACTCTGGGTCCAAAAAAAAAAAAAAGACGAAAAGAAAGAAGACGAACAGACTGTTCGCTGGCGCAGGCGCTCCCCGACCCCGAGACCCTCACCCGGCACCGGACTGCCAACTGCCGGAGACCCCTCCCCTCCGGCCTCCGTTCTTACTTCTTTCTCCGCAGGCCAAGCCGCGCAGCACCTATAATCAAGTTCCCTACTTCCCTTGATTGCTTGTGCTTGATCCCTTCAGTTTAGACGACAATTCCCTTGATGACTTAGACGACAAGGACAACAGCAAGTCAGCAACAGGTAATTGCAATTTGTCAATTGATCTTACTGTCTTAGACTCTTAGTTTACTTAGTCTTATTTACTTAGAAACTAAGTTTGTACAGTGCAGATTTCAATATATTTCATCATGACATCTTCTCAACCACCAAATAAAAAGGCGAAAACAACATTGTTTTCTTACTATCAACGTAAGGAATCTGAAACGTGTCAGACCGAAGAAGTCCCTCCTAATGAAGGTCAACCATCTTCCTCTCCAGTTCAGAATGAATCATCTACTTCTCCTGTATCCGGTAATCTACTTCCATCATATGATAGTGGAGTTGAAATTGAAAGAGATCTAGGAAAGAGGAAACAAATATGTGATTGGGCTCTTGAGTTGAGAGATGAGGTTAGGAGAAAATACCTAATACACAAGGCTTATCAACCTAAACTCGCATACTATAAGCCGCGAGAATATCCAGATAAAATTCGTCACTTTCAAGAAGCATGGTATTCACAATTTGATTGGTTGGAGTATTCTCCTACAACACATAAAGCATATTGTTTCCCATGTTTTTTGTTTAGAGACAAGATGAATGGGAATCAAACTTCTGCACTAGTCAAAGATGGATTTGATAATTGGAAGAGGGTTAATGGTAAGAAATGTGTGTTCCTTGTTCATGTTGGTTCATCAGCTTCTTCAAGCCATAATAAATGTGTTACAGCGGCTGATGCCTTGATGAAACCATCCGGTCATATTGATAAAGTGATGCACATAATTGGTGGAGAAGAAGTTCTAAAGCATCGATTGCGGTTGAAAACAACAATTATGGTTGTCAAACAGTTGGCTTTACAAGGAAGTTCTTTTAGAGGGCATGATGAATCTGATGATTCTTTGAATCCGGGGAATGTTCTAGCTTGGATTGGTTTTGCAGCGAAGTTGAATGATCAAATCAATAGTGTAGTTCTTCGTAATGCACCAGGAAATGCGAAATACACTTCACCAAGCATTCAGAAGGAGATATTGGGAATCATAGCAAATAGAGTGCGTTGTAAGATACGCGAGGAGATTGGAGATTCTTGTTTCTCTATTCTTGTTGATGAAGCAGTTGATGAAGCAGGAAGGGAACAAATGTCTATTATTGTGAGGTATGTCAGTTCTTCTGGTATAGTAACTGAACGCTTTTTCGCTCTCAAGAGTGTAGCTGATACTTCTGCAGAAACATTAAAACAAGCTATTTGTGACGTTCTCTCTCAGTATGACCTTCAAATTGAAAAATTGAGAGGTCAAGGATATGATGGTGCTAGTAATATGTCAGGACAGTTTAATGGAGTCAAGGCATTATTTCTTAGAGATTGCCCATATGCCTATTTTGTCCACTGTTTTGCTCATAGATTACAGTTGGCATTGATGACTTCTGCAAAGGTATGTGATCCTATATGGGATTTCTTTTCCATATTGGATTGTATCATAAACGTTGTGAAGGCTTCTCCTAAACGGATCAGGGAGTTGCAAGCAATTCACAAAAAAGATCTTGATGGTATGTTGGATGTTGGAGAAATTCAATCTGGACAAGGAGCTAATCAAATGACATCCTTAAAGCGTTCGGGGCCAACTCGTTGGGGATCTCATTATCATTCCATATTGAGCATTATAAACATGTTCAATGCAACATGTGTAGTGCTAGAGGATCTTTGTCGTTCTAAAGAAGGAGAACAACGAGCTCAAGCCAGAGGTGCTTCAAAAAATATCAAGACTTTTGAGTTTGTGTTCAATCTTCACTTGATGAAAGGGATTATGGATATCACGGATTTTCTTTGTCAAGCATTTCAACAAGAATCTGTTGATATTGTAGCTGCAGTTGGATTTGTTTCCATGGCAAAAGTTAAACTTCAAAAGCTACGAGATGAAGGATGGGACAAGCTACTCCAAGAGGTAAAATCTTTTTGCTCAAAACATGCCATAGAGGTACCTAATATGAATGCTACACTTGGACGTGGTGAGAAGCAAACAACTCTTGAGCACCGCTACCATTTTGAATACTTTAATCAATGCATAGATTTTCAGTTGGGAACATTGAATTCAAGATTCAATGAGTATCAGTCAGATTGCTTCAGTTGAGTGGTGCACTAGACCTTAAAAGTTCTTTCCGGTCTTTTGATGAAGAAAATATTTACAGACTTGCTGAAGAGTTTTATCCTCGAGACTTTGAAGGCAATGAGATGAATTGTTTGAAGAATGAGCTAGGATATTATGCTGATCATGTGGTTCATAGTCAGGAATATGATGTTTCTTCCCTTGCAAAATTACTAGAGAAGCTGGTGGAAACAGGGATGGAGGCACGGTACAGATTGATTTGTCGGTTGATTCGTCTAGTGTTGACATTGCCTGTTTCAACGGCTACTACAGAGAGATCCTTTTCAGCAATGAAACATGTGAAGACTGATTTGCGCAACAAGATGGGCGATGAATTTCTTGCTGATTGCTTAACTATTTTCTTTGAGAGAGAGTATGTTATTGGTATGGATGAAGACTCAATTATAGACGAATTTGCTAAATTAAAAGACCGTCGTGTACAATTGACATTGTAATGCAAACTATAATTTTTTTTTTGTTTACGGTATCTAATTTTATGTTCGAATCCGGCCCAGTGCACTTCTACATCCTGGATCCGCCGCTGCGCACAATGGTGGCCAATGGTGAAGCGCTCATCCCAATGGAAGCACAACCCTAATAACGTATAATATAAGGGCTTCACGGAAAATAACGTATAATATAAGGGCTTCGGAGAGAATAATTTTAGCTAAGGGACTTGTGTGTAATATTTGCTTTAGTACATAAACTAAAATGTATTTAACCTAACCTAGTGAGGGATCTAGCAAACAGAACGGCGGAAGGAGGAGGGAAATCGGGAGGCTCTAGACTTCACTCTTCAGTGAATAGATTGAAAGGAAGAGCAAAGGAGGGTCTAACCGAGCATCCGCCGCCGGTCGTAGGCGCCGCCTTCGGCTACCTATCACTGCCGATTGGAGAAGCTATTGCTGGATTTCATGGTGCTCTGTGCTTCGATGTGCGAGTTGTGAAGTATCTCCCTCTTAAGCATTTGCTGTTCGAGTAAGAAGCCGAGCTGTCGCTGTTCCGTTGATTTGTGTTTGGTGCGAAAGCTTTGACGCACTAGTGTTTTCCCGTAAGCTTCAAGTTTCGAGATCTTCGATGCCTTCGTTTAACTATTGACTGGCTAAATAGAAACTCAAATCAGGCTTAAGCTGGGATTAACGGCTTCCAATGTGCTTTAGCTTCACCCTTGGTGCATTTGCTTATCTCTGAAATTGTGGATTTCAATGTCATTTGTAATGTTGCTCTCCCTTTGCAACTTATTCAGAGGCTAAGTTTGGTTGTTTGTTGGTGAAGGGAAGCAAAGCTTGAAAAACCTTCGTACATAAACCTAACTTTGGGATAATGGAGTGTGTGGTTCAAGGAATAATCGAGACTCAGGTTGGTGCTTTTCTCTGTTACTGCTGATGCTAGGTTTGACCGAGTTGTAGGAGGATTTTTCTGTGTAATAACTTAATGGGATCTGGTGCTTTGAAGTTGCTATGTTCTGTTCCCTACTTGACGAATCAGTTTGTTTGTTTGTTTGTATCCTTTTACAGCATGTGGAGGCGCTAGAGATACTTTTGCAGGGTCTTTGTGGAGTTCACAGAGAACGTTTAAGGGTCCATGAGTTATGCCTCAAAAGCGGTCCTAATCTAGGTGAGATTTGGCAGGAAAATAAGTTCACAAGGTTTCTATACATATTGGTGTTAGGCTTGATCAACTTTTGCTCTCTCAATTGACCTGGGTTGGAGCTCTTAAAATGTTACTTCTGAAAATCCAAGACAAAAATTGGTTCGTTTCCAGTGATACCTTCTTATATAATTGTGGCTTTCCTTACGCTACTTGGTCTAGTCTAGCTATCTTAAGTTTGTCTTCTGAATGTACAAGTGTGAAGTTACCATCTTTTCTCCCGACTCCCGACTTCAGGATTTCTGTATTACCTGGTTACTAGTTGAACCTTTTTTCAGCTGGATGTTCCTGTCTTACGGAAAGTGCACGCGGTTCCTTTTGTAGGACCGGTTGCTTCTGAAGTTCGGCTCTTGTGTGACCTTGAGCATTCTGAACCCACTTGGTAAGTTATACCCTCCTTTGTGATTCATGGTTTTCCTCTTTCTTTTTTCCAATTTTTTATTTTCATTCTCCTGTTCTTAATTGCTTATGGAATGCCTTAACCTGAAGGACTGTTAAACATATTGGGGGTGCAATGAGGGGAGCTGGTGCGGACCAGATTTCTGTCCTTGTAAGGAGTATGATAGAGAGCAAAGCAAGCAAGAATGTTCTTCGTTTGTTCTACGGTCTTGGTTACAAGCTGGAGAATGAGTTACTAAGGGTTGGATTTGCCTTCCACTTCCAAAGGGGTGCTCAAATAACCGTTACAGTGTCGTCTATTAATAAGATGCTGAAACTGCATGCCACAGATGAGGCTGTACCTGTAACCCCTGGCATACAGCTTGTTGAAGTAACAGCCCCTGCAACACCAGAGAATTATTCTGAAGTAGTTGCTGCAGTCTCGTCCTTCTGCGAATATCTTGCGCCGTGAGTATTACAATACTGTGTGCATACAATCTGAGCTCTGAGGGGAGTCCCTTTTAAAGTCCTTGGCAGGCTTCTAACTATTTCCAAAACATGTGGGCACCTTTTTTATATGTTGCAGGCTTCTGCATTTATCAAAGCCAGGTATCTCAACTGGGGTTGTTCCGACTGCTGCGGCTGCTGCAGCATCACTAATGTCTGATGGTGGGGGCACAACCCTATAGCCTACAAGGTAAATGTGTCAAGAGTAAAAAGTTAAGAAGGTCGTTGTCGGTTCAATCTTTTCATAGCAACTGTGTCTGTAAAGTGGCTTTATTGCACCCTTTCGATGGATTTGTTGCAGGTATGCTCCTTTATACATGTTCCATCCTGTAGTTAGTTAGGTTCTACAACCTTGAAAGGCAGTGAAAGTTTGAGACAAACACCAGTTCGTGTCTTCATGTTTATGGTGAAATGTTATCCATAAGTTCAACACTGAATTTGTCGACGTGATTCTTCTGAACTGTCCCTCCTGTTTTTTTCTTACTCCCCCTAGAATTGCAAGTCTGTTGGTGATGGACATGATGGTTATATATATAGTAAAAGGTGTGAGCAGTTAAGGTAATGGCAGCAGCACGGTGCTGAAAGGGTTGGGGAGATGGGAGAGGGCCCTTGTCCTTTGTATTAGTTGCTGCATTGAGACTGTCGCAACCTCTCCTACAATAGAATCCGGGTTGAAAGAAAAGGCAAGGCTGCGTTCTAGCATTGAACGTCAGCCTAGACTTGCTCCCAACATTTCATTTGTTCGTGTCCCAATCTCTCTCAGCAAGTCGTTGGTTGTTGCCATATCTGACTGCTTTGATCGACCCGTCAATGCTGATCCATCATCAACTTGACATTCTTTTCAATGTCTCTTTGCCTCAATTATTAGATTAGTGAAGGGGTGATTTTCAAGCATGGGCAAGATTTGCACTTCTTGTCTCTGGCATGAAACTCCTTGCGGTTTTAATTCTTAGACCACCTGCGCGAAGATTTAGTGAATCCGGAAGGCATGTTAGGGCACTTAGGCTGCACCTTTGGTTTTAGTGGAGGTATTTTTACCGGACAATCTCATTAGTCAGTAGTATCAATAAAATGGGAACTGCTACTTGTTTATATCTCGATATTGCCGGCTTAGTCCAATGTTTGTCTTGTCAATTTACACGCCGAGTGCACACAAGAATAGGCAGCATATGTGCAAGCGCCCATGGTCAGAGGATTAGTCAATGTTGAGAACATGCCAACATGGAGAAAGGATGAGGCAAAGTGTCAATGCCAGGGGTGGTTGACTCTGTTGAATAGGTGACGTGCAAAGAAGCAAACCGAGTGTCAAAGCACATGGTGGGTCCTTGGGAGAAGATTTTATAAATTATATATAATAGTTGACCAATGCTACGGTGCCGCTAGGAGTGGAAATTGGTATTGTATTGGTATTTCAATACCAAATACCAAAATCTCGAATCCCGAATTATACTTTAAAGTCAATCCCAATCTCTAAATAATTTTGGTATCTCAATTCCAATTCCTAAATATTTTGGTATCCTAATCGGTACTTTGGTATCCCAATAGGTATTATTGAATACAAAATTAATTACCTTTGTAATTAATAATTAAATATAAATATATAAATTAAATTAGATTTGATTGTTTAATATAAGACAAAGAGACTAAGCAAAGAGTCTTGAGTTTGACTAGTGCCAGGATATAGATAAGGAGAATGGAGGAGAGGTGACATCTCAAGTTTTTGTCATTGGTAATCTTTAATTTGACGAATTGGAGGTTAAGAGAAGACTAATACTAGTGTTTGTTTTTTAGTGTTATAAAAATAACCAGAGATTGGTGGTTGACTGTCGTGTAGTAGTGAATGTGAGAGACTAGTTGAGAGAATAAAATACACACAATATTATATTTTGGTATTGTTCGGTATTTCGGTATATATATACCGATCCCAATCCCGTAATCCCCAATACCGAATAACAATTGAAATTAAATCCCAATCCCGATTCCAAGAAATAATGTGTATTTAGTAATACCAAATATAGACAAATTCGGTACGGTATTCGGTATATCCCAAATACCGGTACCAAAATTCTAGCCCTAGGTGTCGCGGTAAAAAGTGTGGCACTGATAATGCTATGTCTAATTGGGCCACGAGGAGCTTATATAGTATGAGGTGGCTTTGATTGACCCAACACTAGGTTCAACTCGCTTTGGCCTGGTTGAATTGAGTTTTGAGCAAATTCATCCCTAACACGACTCGTCAATTACAAAAATAAATAAAACTCGCTCTTGTCGAAAACTTGTAAACACCGGGTTCAAGTCGCTTTGGTCGGGTCAAATTAGGTTGGATACTCATGCATTTTGACCCAATTGTCATTCTCAACCAAAAGGAAAAAGATAAAAAAAATACTAAAGTGGATAAAACTCACTCACGACCCTAAACTCTCAACACTGCGTTCAACTCGCTTTGACCGGGTCGACCCAGTTTTAACAAATTCATAATTTACTCAACATGTAAATTACAAAAGCGGATAAAACTCGCTCTCGATATGAAACTCGTCAACAATGGGTCAGAGTTCAATTGTCATTCTCAACGAAACGGAAACTGAGAAATAAAAAAACATGAAAGCGTACAAAACTCGCTTTCGATCTAAAACTGGTCAACAATGTGTTCAACTCTCTTTGACCAATTGTCATTCTCAACCAAAAGGAAAAGGATAAAAAATACTAACGTGGATAAAACTCACGACCCTAAACTCTCAACACTGCTTTCAACTCGCTTTGACCGGGTAGACCTAGTTTTAACAAATTTATAATTTACTCAACATGTAAATTACAAAAGCGGATAAAACTCGCTCTCGATATGAAACTCATCAACAATGGGTCAAAGTTCAATTGTCATTCTCAACGAAACGGAAAATGAGAAATAAAAAACATGAAAGCGTACAAAACTCGCTTTCGATCTAAAACTGGTCAAGAACGTGTTCAACTCGCTTTGACCAATTTTTTAACAAATTAACCCCTGGTTCTGCCTGCCAACTACAAAAGCAGATAAAACTCTCTCACAATACAACACTCGTTAATACCTTAGATTCAAGTTCAATTGTCTTCCCAACCAAAACCAAAAAAGAGAAATTCAAGTCGCTTGGACATGATCGAATGACTTTTATATATTAATTTGGGTTCAGTTGTGATGATGGTCAACAAAAAGGTAAAGTAGAAAAGATAAAACACTAAAGAGGATGAAACTCGGTCCCGATACAAAACTCGTGGTAGCGGCCTTGGGTTCAAGTTAGGATAACCTTGTGTTTGGCTTCAGTAGATGTAAACCTAGTGAACAATTGTTAAACACAAATGTTATAAAATGGAGAGTGGGGTAAAAGAAGCAACTTGGAACTTCCCCACTTGCACTTGGAGGAGTGTGAGAGCCACTAATGAATAGTAACTCATAACCTAGACTTTTATATATTAATTAATATATATTTATGTTATGAAACAATATACATAAATTTTGACAAATTATTTGGTATAAGTCAGTAAGTCACAAAGTAATAGTGTTAGTCATGGGACATTGTTGTGTGTTCACCCTCTAGAACCATATAACTGTACTCGTTCTTGATTGGTTGGTTGGTTTGCTGCATCTCTTACTTGAGTATCTAAAACATGATGCTCTCCTGCTGATTCGTTGGTATTGGTGCTTGTATGGGAAATTGCTAGCCATTTTCCCCAGTGGCAACTAAAACTTCAGTTATCATGTGTCTTGAGAAACTCGTTGGCATGGTAGGTCTAGAGTTACAAGCTCCATCCAATTTGTACTGCTCAGGGTTATGCCGTGCTATACTTTCCCTCATCACTCGATTGTTTACCCAAGATGGTGGAGGAATGATGCTTCTCTTCAAAACTGAAGGCAGCAAAGCCCGCTAGCTGTTCTGCAGTTTTGGTCATTAATTGGCAGCATTCTTAGAGCTGCCGTGACATGGCATGAGTGTAAACATGATAAGATCAAGGAATGAATCCACATATGTGATGTGAGATGTGACTGTTGTTTCTATCTCAACCATGCCCTATACATGTGGTGATATATAGTCACTCTTTCCAACTCGAAAGTTATCGTCAATCTTGCTCATGCTGTTGAAGAGGAGACGCCAAAGAAGCTCCCGTCAAAGGTGCTTCCGTGTCTTCGTATATTTCTAGCCCAACATGACATTTCAAAGGAAGGAAGCACACATCAAAAGTCTGCAATTGATTTTCTGGATACGTCACTGGGAAAAATTCTCTGGTAGCTGAAAAACCTGACAGTCAATCAGTGGTTGCCTAGAAAAGTCCGGCTGGTTGAAGTGATTGATAAGCCTAACTAAATTCTGACCCGTCTACTCTGTTAAGACTCTGTTTCTCGTTTTGCCCCTCTGCTTATTGGAACACCATTGCTGCGACATCTTCCTATATATAAGCAGAACTGCGACCATCATTGAACAGAGAGAGATGGGGTGCTCAACTGCAGAAACTCAGCAGCAGAAGCCACACGCAGTGCTGCTGCCATTTCCAGCACAAGGCCATGTCAACCCATTCATGCAACTCGCCAAGCTCTTGCACTCCGAAGGCTTCCACATAACATTCGTCAACACCGAGCACAACCACAGGCGGCTGGTTCGAACCAGAGGGCCTGAAGCCGTGAAGGGTCTCCCCGATTTCCAGTTCGAGGCGATCCCTGATGGGTTGCCGCCGTCGGATAAGGACGCCACTCAAGACCCTCCTGCCCTCTGTTATGCCGCCCAGAACTACTGCTTGCAGCCATTTATGGAGCTGATGGAGAAGCTCAGGTCAAGCACTCCGCAACTTCCTCCAGTTACTTGCATAGTTTCTGATGGAATCATGACTTTTGGGATCAAAGCCGCGGAACTGCTCGGGGTCCAGCACGCTTCGTTCTGGACCGCCTCAGCTTGCGGCCTCGTTGGGTATCTGCAATTCGATGAACTCATCGCACGAGGCATCTTTCCAATCAAAGGTGGTAACTTTACAATTCTCTTGCACAATGTATACAATTGGTTCTCTTTTTAACTCTTTTTCATGGCCGTTTCAGAGGCCAATTTGAGTGACGGAACACTTGACAGTCCGTTAGATTGGATTCAAGGAATGAGCAACATTCGTCTTAAGGATCTACCAAGCTTTGCAACAAGCACGGATGCGGAAGATGTAATCTTCCACTTCCTCAGGATTGAAGCCAGGAGCTGCTTGAAATCCAGTGCAATCATCTTCAACACCTTTGACGCATTCGAGGAACAAACACTTGCAACCATCAGAAAGGACTACTTCCCCTTCCCTCGTCACATCTACACTATTGGTCCGCTCCATTTGCTTGGACACGAAATGGCTGTCCCCAGAGCTGAATCCAAGACCATAGGTTCAAATCTATGGAAGGAAGACCCGAAATGTATGGAGTGGCTCGACCAAAGAGAACCACGGTCGGTTGTGTATGTCAACTATGGAAGCGTGACGGTTATGTCTGATGAACACCTCAGAGAATTCGCGTGGGGGCTTGCAGAGAGCAAGCGCCCATTTCTGTGGATTGTAAGACCGGATATCGCAATGGGGGATTCAGCGATCCTGCCAAGCGAGTTTCTAGAGGCGATCGAAGGTCGTGGGTGTCTAGCCAGCTGGTGCATACAACAGGAAGTGCTTTCACATTCTTCCGTGGGAGTTTTCCTGACGCATTGCGGATGGAACTCTACGGTGGAGAGCGTCTCAGCGGGCGTTCCTGTGATATGCTGGCCCTTTTTCGCGGAGCAACAGACTAACTGTCGATATGCTTGCAGCCAATGGGGGATTGGTGTGGAGCTAAGTGCTGATGTGAAGAGGAATGAGGTTGTGGATGTGATCGAGGAGATGATTTGTGGAGAGAAAGGGAAGGTGATGAAACATAACGCTTTGGAATGGCAGAGGAAAGCGAAAGAAGCTGTTGTCGATGAAGGGTCAGCATTCAATAACTTCAGAAGACTTGTCCAAGAATATTGTCTGCAATCATAAAAATTGATGACTATTAGAATAAGAACATGTCAATGTTTGCTCATGGAGATACTAAAAGGCATTCGAGATACCGGTGTTGGTTTTGTAAGTGATTTGGATAATACTTTAGTTTAACTAGTTCACTCTATTGTGTTTGTGTAGTAAAATTGAGGAGATTGCTCATTCCCTTTGTCTTAACAGGCAGGGGTGAACAAAATCATCCTGGAGTTTGGATGCGAACCATTCAAACCAATCTATCTAAAACATATTCAATGAAATCCAACTATATCATTGGATGAGGGTTTTGAGATATTTACAGGAAGATTTTGTGGTTGAATGCATGAAAGTATTCAAACCGACACTACCAACAAAAATTATTCAAATAGGGATGGAAAGATCGATTTTGGACAGATTTTTCAAAACCATC